ACATATCCTGCTTTGGTTAAAAGATAAGGTTCGACCTAATGACGTAGACAGTTCAATCAGTGCCGAAATTCCAGATCCGATTGCAGATTCCGTGTTATACGACATTGTTAAAACTCATATGATACATGGTCCATGTAGTTCATTTAACGGGAATGCTCCTTGCATGCAAGACGGTTATTGCACTAAAAGATATCCAAATGCGTTAGTGGATGAAACTGTAAAGGACATGATGGTTACCCATTATATCGTCGCCGTTCAGACAATGGTGGTTTTACTGTTGAAAAGCGAGTGTCTGGACAACAGGTTACTTTAGATAATAGGTAGGTCGTTACGTATTCGCCTGTGTTGTCTAGAGCATTTCAAGCTCATATAAATGTTGAAATGTGTAATAGTGTAGAGTCAATAAAATATATTGTAAGTATATTAACAAGAGCAGTGACCAAGCTACATTTGCGTTGAGAAATGAACATGATGAAGTTACTAGATTTCAGTCAGGCAGATATATCAGCTCTTCAGAAGCTGTGTGGCGGATCTTAAGTTTCAACATTCACGAAAGATATCCACCTGTGACTCATCTGGATGTTCATCTTGAAGGACATGTTCAGACATGGACGTGGAAAGAACATGAGAGTGTATACCGTTCATCCTAACAACGCTGAGTGTTTCTATTTGTGATTATTATTACATACCTAGGCTGCACTAAAAGTATCGGGAATGGAATATTTCCACTGTTCCTGTCATATTAAAATCTTTTTATTAGAAAACTCCTTGGTTTTAAAAATCGAATACTATTTATTTATTTAAAAAAGATTCTCGGTCTTGTCACAAGGTTTTGTCAAACATGTTTAGTCGTTTAGAAAATGGAATTGACTCGAGCAAATTCAAGAGCGATGATTTATTATGACTTTCGAAGTGGTTTAACACAAAAACAGTGTGTTGACCGGATGATTTCTGCATTTGGTAATGAAGCCCCATCCAAAAGCACAATTTATCGCTGGTTTGCTGAATTTCAACGTGGACGGGTCAAGCTCAGTGATGATCTCCGTCAATGTCGTCCAAAACCTGCAGTCACCCAAGAAAACGTTGATGCTGTGCGTAAGCTGATTGAGGAAGATCGACATGTGACATACCGCGAAATTCAGGCAACTTTAGAGATTGGCATGAGTCAAATACAAGTAATCTTGCATGAACAATTAGTTGTAAAAAAGTTGTTTTCCCGATGGATACCGCATTCGCTCTGTGAAGAGCAAAAAGCGGCTCGCGTTACTTGGTGCGTCAGAACTCTCGAAAGATTCCACGCTGGATCCTCAAATGCTGTATACAAATATCAGGTGACGAATCCTGGATATATGCGTACGAACCCGAAACAAAAAACCAGTCACGAGTTTGGGTGTTCGAAAATGAGTTAAAGCCAACAAAAATTGTCCACGTTTGTCTCCGAAACCGGCCATGTTACGACTATTCCTCTTGAGGAACAAAGAACGGTTAATGCTGAATGGTATGCTAGCATTTGTTTGCCAAAGGTCGTTTCTGAACTCCGTAAAGAGAACTGCAACCACCGCATCATCCTCCATCACGACAATGCGAGTTCTCACACCGCACACAGAACAAAAGAGTTTTTAGAGCAAGAAAATATAGAATTATTGGACCATCCGCCGTACAGCCCCGACCTAAGTCCTAATGATTTCTGTACTTTCCCTAAAATAAAGAATAAATTGCTTGGACAGAGATTTTCATCACCTGAAGATGCTGTGGACGCCTACAAAACGGCCATTTTGGAGACCCCAATTTCCGAATGGAATGGTAGCATCAATGATTGATTCTATCGTATGGAAAAATGTGTCAAATTTCGCGGAGAATACTTCGAAAAGCAATAAATACATTTTTAAATAATAATGTTGTGTCACTTCCTTGATTCCCGAAATTTTCAGTGCCCTCGTACAGTGCGAGGACCAACATCATTTATAGATTTGAGAAAAGTAGACAATGTTGTTTATCCAACTTATAATGCAGCTTGCCAAGCGCATCGTGTCCTTTAAAATGATCAGCATTGGGATAACGCTTTAGCAGAATCCTGTGTTAGTGATAATCCACGACGGTTACGCCATTTATTTGTAACATTACTCACATTTTGTAATTTGTCAGATGCTGTACAATTATGGGAAAAATATAAAGAAAAATTTGCAGAAGACTTTCTTCGGAATATATCTCACAATGATGAAGGCGCAACTAATGATAATTTCCGTGATCTTGCCATAAATCTATGCTTATTAGCTCTTCAGGAAGACTTAACAGCAGTAGGCGGTAAATCACTCTGTGAATATGGTTTGCCAACACCAACCTCAATCGGAGAGGTTACCAATAGAAAGTATTCCGCAGAGATTGGTTACAATTCAATGGAACTGCCGTCAACATTAGAAAACGGTGTCCCAATGATGACTGCAGAACAACGTTCAGTCTATGATCGCGTGTGCGAGAGTGTTCAGAATAATTTGGGAACAATATGATTTTTAGATGCACCTGGAGGAACTGGGAAAACCTTTTTGACTAAATTAATATTAGCTTATGTTCGAAATCAGCGTAAAATTGCTCTTGCCGCGGCTTCATCAGGTATAGCTGCAACATTGCTACCAGGAGGTAAAACTGCTCACACTATTTTTAAAATACCAATTGATTTAGATCGCATTTGTCGCTATTTCAAGAAATAGCGACAAAGCTAAGTTATTACGTGAATGTAATTTAATCATATGGTATGAATGTACGATGGCCCACCGAAAAGGAGTAGAAGCGGTAGACGGAACTTTAAAGGATATAAGACAAAATAATAGACCAATGGGCGGTGTCACGGTTTTATTTTGTGGTGATTTCCGACTAACCTTACCGGTAATACCACAGGGAACCTGAGCTGATGAGGTTAGGGCTTGCCTAAAAAGCTCTTATTTGTGGCGTGATATACAATCCGTACATTTGACTATAAACATGCGAGTGAGAACTGGAGATAACCCGGATGATCGTCAATTTTCTGATTAAGTATTAAAGATTGGTGAAGGTATCCACAACTACACCAAGGAAAACTTATTCTGACGCCTGATTTATGTTGTATAGTGCAATTCCAACCACATCTTATATCGTCGGTTTACGGTGACGTAACAATTATATTAAATAGGGACAATTCTTGGCTATGCGAAAGATCCATTTTGATTCCTCGCAATGACCAGGCATCTGAGATTAATAACAAAATACTGTCGAATATACAGGAGGAAAGCAAAGTTTATAGTTCAATAAATAGAATGGTCGATGAACAAGAAGCCACTAATTACCCGATAGAATTTTTAAATTCTTTAAATATGCCCGGACTTCCTTCTAATGAAATTTGTTTAAAATTGGCATTCCGATTATTCTGCTCCGAAATTTAAGACCACCACAACTTTGCAATGGAACTCGGCTAAAAGTAACCCAGTTGCAACAAAATATAATCGAGGCTCAAATTTTAACAGGTTGCGGTGCAGGAGAAACCGTCTTTATACCCAGAATTCCCATAATACCAAATAATTTTCCATTCCAATTTAAAAGAACGCAATCAGTCTGTCACAATCAGTGTGTTATGCAATCAGTGTGTTCTCAAATCAGTGTGTTATGCTGAACGCAATCAGTGTGTTATGCAATGACAATTAATAAGGCTCAAGGGCAGACTTTTCGTGTTGCTGGAGTAGATCTCGGTGTCAGTTGTTTCTTGCATTGTCAGTTGTACGTCGCTCTTTCCCGGGTTAGCAGTTCTAGAAATCTTTATGTTCACGTGCCGAACGGGTCAACTTTCAACATAGTTTACCCGAAAGCTTTGCACTGAAGTATCTTTGTTCTATAAGTACTTAAGCCTCATGTGAACGTGATCTAAACAATATTACCAATATATTAACTTAATAACACATAAGGAGTTACACTCCATTCAAAGCACAGCGACACTATAACATATATAGGAATGACGTCTTAGCAAAATTTGTTTAGTCAGATGGGCATTTCCTGTTGACTTACAAAAATGAAAGATCTAGAACGTCTCGAATCGTCTCGCGAATCACGTTGTTTTCCCGTCCCCGGGCTCTTAGAATTCAATATCAGACGTTTCAGATATTCGATTTTGACGACCCTTTTGTCACTGACATAAGCAACAGGATCCACGTACGAAGTCGCGGGCAGAAGCTATGTTTAATAATAATGTCATACCATTCTTTACTAATGCAAATAACCTTGGTCTGTACATTGATGTTTGCTTAACATGGAGCAAACATATACAGCAGGTGAGTCGCAAAACTAGTGGAACTTTGCGATCTCTTTATCGATTTAAAAACTTTCTTCCCACCAATACCAAGATTTTACTTGTCCAATCACTTATTGTACTGATAATGGAATAAATGTCGATGTGTGTTGTTCAGACCTGTCTCAACATCATCTTAATACATATCCTATCCGTCAGCGCAGATTTATCAGTCTTATTCATAAAAATCCACTAAAATGGCGTTATGACAGTAATTAGTTAAAACGCTCAGGAGTACTATACCTATTATAAAATTCTCTATTCATAAACGAGTTTTATTATGTTGTCATTCTGATGAATCCATAGACAAGCCACGTTAAAAAAAAAGTTTGACAGCAATTGTAACCAATAACCATTTCCGTCAAAACAAGCGTAGTGTTTTCATAGTATTTTCGATTCAAGAAATTGATTTGTTTTTTTATTTTTTTTTATTTTATACTAAATAAAAATAATGGAAAACATTACATGTAAAAAGCGGCAAAGAAGTGAAAATTGGCTGGAGTAAGATAAGGTTAGTATGTGACTAAGGTAATTTTCTCATAGATGTTTAGTGCACAAATATTAGTGTTGTTATAATAGTATCCTTTTTCTTTCATAGCATTTATTGAGGGATTTGGTAAGGAAGCGTGTATCAGAAATTGAAAATAAAAAATACTGATACAAATACAAACTCAAAAAAGATAGCAGCATGGGCAGATTTGTTATGCAGGTACCTATTTTTGTCTATCAATTTGTGAAGTGTTTGAAGATGAGTGTTCAACGCAATGATATTCTATACAATAATCTTCAGGAAGAGCTATGACAGGAGCCCGCTATGTAATAGGATTAATTATGATGAAACTTATTTAAGAATAAAATTGCTGATAGAGGTTCAGACTTAAGTTGAAAACTTAAATAATAGTGGGCTGTCCACATAGTTCATAGAACATGGGATTGGACGGGTTGATAAACTATAAGAGAGCACAAAAAAGTCGTTATGATCACTTGCATTGTGATTGGCCCATTTTGAATTTAAATGTCATACATTTGTATAAATTATGTTTATACTTTTTTCCAGTTTCAACAGTATGTGCAAAGGTGGCACTCGCACCCTTCCCCAAATAAAATCCCAATGGATCATCATTAAAATGACAAAAAAGAAAATTTAGTCTCCTGAACGAAAGACTGGTGGTGGTCCACATCCAACAACGAACCCCGAAAATGCAGATGACATCTGTTCATGGCTCCCTAACGAATTTGTCATTGACACCAATGAATTTGATTCTGATGAAATAAATCAGGTATTACATATGTCAAGATTTAAAGGTTGCAAGTTTTATCTCTACCCAGTACAAACTTTAATGTTGTGTAATAAATATATTTGTTCCTTTTCTGCCTAATTAAAACACCTACTAAAGTTTACTTAATGATATAGTTATCAAAAAAATCCATGCGTAAGTTCATTATTAATTTAATTATTTATTGCATTGTTTGAAAATTGGGGAGCCATCACAAAATGAAATCAAAGTGAATGGGATAAATAAACTTGTCAATTTTGAAAACAAGACTTCAGATATTGTGAGCATCAGTAAAGCATTGAGATAGCTAGCAATTTTCATATTTTTCATATCTCATTTATTTTTATATTTTACTGTTGTAGGACACAAAGAGTACAGTAAAGCATAACACAGTAGAAATACTTGAGGAGATCCAAAGTACATGAGAGGTAAATTTGTGAAATGTCATAAAGCAAGTACTTACTAAACATGTGCCAAAGTGGGAATCGAACCCATAACTTGATTTGTAATCCTGGATTGTAAAGTTTTGAGATATAAATATTAGTTGAATGAAAAATGGTCCATTTAAACTTGAATTGTATTTGATGAAACATTTGATGTTAAAGTATATTTAAGATTAAGTTAATGAAAACAAATTTCTTTTAACGGTTACCATTGCTGCAGGTTGTATCTACTGGCTCAGCACCAAAACCACTCTATACACCATTTAAGAAACCTGAAAGAAAGAATAAAACTGAGAAAAAGGTAAATATAATCACCTCTACTATTAGAGTAGAGGTGATTATATTTACCTTTTTCTCAGGGATTATGTTAATTTATGAAATTGTTGCTTTGATTTTTTTAAATACTCATACACATACATAACTATTTGTATTTCAGACCTCAGATCATGCAGAAAGTATAGCCAATACTGAAATCAAGTGCAGGAAAGAGGTCCATCAAGCCCAAATGACAAATGTAACGAAAGCCTGAAACTTGGACCTTGATGAGACATTAATTAAATTAAAAATTGAATATTTAAAAAAAACATCTAGTTATTAAAATAAATAATTTAGAATTAAAATGTGGAGCTTACTTACTCATAGCCTTAATTAGCTAAAATGCCTATCGATAAATGCTGGTAGAAGAGCATTATTGGAGTCTCTTCCTCTGGCCTCACCAATTTGAGGTAGAAGTTCAACATCCACAATTGCATTAAGTTCATCATAATCTGAAAATCATATTATTAATATATTATGTAAAGAAATATTATATTCATGAATGACTAAAATTATTTGTGTGCAAATTACCTGGTACCGAATCCTGTTGTCCTATTGCAATATTATGCAACATTGCAAGTAGCCACAATTGTAGGTTTCACATTTTTCATGTGTACTGAAAATTTGTAAATCCTACCTGACAAGATCAATCATAAAAGATGCCGTATGTTTATCGAAGCGGTAACTCTACATTGGGCAAAGAAAACGGATCATATTTCTTCTGGTAAACCTTATGACGACGATGTGGAGCATTTCATTATATTTTTTTATCCTCTATTTGATTATTGCTGCACCGCCTCCAAAATTTCTATCTCCGTTTAGCCTAATGGTTGACTGGGAGAGAAAGAATGCCCTATAGTACTAAGTCACCATATATACTACATACTTTGTGCATAAAAATAAACGTACAACAAATAAAAATAAGTCAACGTCGGTCGCTAGTTTCTACCACACTGATCAATCGATGGCATCGATCGATGTTAGAATGGATTAGTCGACATCGATCGAGTTACTTGATTATTTGACAACCCGCTTGCTCCATCCAACGTTATTTAAAATATCATCTAGATGAATTTTAGCTACCTCTGGCCTTAAAAAATAGTCGCATCCAGAGTCCTGTTTTTGCGTCTATGTAATGAAAATACGAGCAAAAGGGTACCGGCCAACAATAACGTGTCTTCCCCTGAATACATTTTGAAGGATACTGATGATGAGCCCATAACCACTTTGATTAATTGTCGATCGACGTCGATGGATGATTGAACGTTTTATCGACCAGCATCCGTCAGTCAGCTAAAGCTATCACACCAATTAATTGACATCGATCGACGTCCTTAAATGACATCGATCGACGAACGATCATTGGTGTAGTAACAACCTTAAAACTAAAAATTTCTTAAAAAATATGCCTCATTACGAGTAAAAAGGGCCTCCGGTATACCCCACTATGGATATAAGATAGCAATATGCTGCTATTTTACGCTGAGTAAGAGTATTCTATGCGAGCATGGTCTTTCCCAAGTTGAGCCGAAACATTTTTGGGGTAGCCATAATAAGCAATGACAGAGGTCTAAGAAATGTAAACGAAATGCAATTAAAGATAGATTACGTCACATTTTTGTATGTTTTAAATATGTTAAGTGATAATTGCATCAAGTCCTTTGAATTTTAATGAAAATTATATGTTTGTAATTTAATAAAAATTTCATAGAACAACAAAAACTATTTTCGATTTTTTCCACATCACTTCATCAGCCATTTTAGTCCACCGCTGGATACAGAACTGTCCAAGAATGCAGCAGCACGACAAGCATTTGTTTTAGTAAAACTGAAGTGACAAACGTTTTTACAGTTCACTATTTGATGAGTGGCTACTGCAGTCCTTGGACATGAAGGACTGCAAGTAACTTCAAATAAAGAAGGCGATAAATGTGTTGTCACTTCTGATGATGAAATCGCGATGCCTTATAGCCTGTAATTATAATGCATTAAAAGTTACAGCATATATACGTTCCACAGCTGGGTATAGGTCTCCTATCTTCTGAGAAGGTATTAGGGCAAAGAAATATCCGCCGCGCTGCCATTATGCGTGTTGGCGAACTTCACATGTCTCCTAAATATGGTTTTTTTTCTTATTTCTCAGACATGCAGATGTCTTCACGACGTATTCCTTCACCGCCGAGCATGTGATAAATCAGCACTTAAAATTGCAATTAACAATTTCATTGGTGCCGACGGTAATCGAATCCGGGTTGCTCGTGTACTATGAAATTTACAGAGAGCTTTGTTGTTAATTCTTGACGAATTACTTCTTTTTAACTCTTGACGTGACATTGACGCATGACGACTGCTCTTATTATGTTATTTTTACCGCTGACGTTGTTAGTTTGATTGGGATAAAGTAAGTTTTATGGAATGATAATAACCCCTGGGAATGAGGTGATTGCTACCAAGCTATTTCTAATTTATTTTGCATTGATTAATTGCGTCATTAAATATCAAAGTCCTCTGGGTATTTTGCTGGTTCTTCCCAGGACAGAGGTGTTTTTTCCAAACCTGTGGGAATTAAATGAAAAAGTGACTTTCAATAAGTATTATTTATAATCTTTATTGCATAAAAACATCCTGTTGCGGTTTCTCTACAAAGGGAGAGGAAGAATAAAATGAAAAAAGCTAAATTTAAAAGTTAAAAAAGGCTAAATTAAAGCTTATAATAAAAAAATATATACTATTACAAATAAGGAATAAGAATTAAGAGGAAAAACATGGATATAAATAACAATATTTTATTAAAATAATTTAACAGGAGTATTTTAAGCACCTTGTAGACCTTCACATTTATTGAGACCGTTTAGACCGAAATTTCCAGGTCCAAATCCGTAGCTGACTCCAGCAAAACCAGGAGCTAAGCCGTTACCGTAACTTATTTCTGTTGCTGTGGGGAGAATGTTCTCGCTCAAAATTCCAACGTTACCATTACCGCAACCATATGAAACAGTTCCCGATCCTGTACTTGAAAGAGCCCCCTCCAACCCGACAGTACCTAAGAATGGGAGCTGACCACCAACAGCTAGAGGACCTGCGTACTCATTGTCCGAGATAACAGAGACACCGATAGGCGGGATAGGGGAGGAACTTCTTACAATGAAACCGCCACCATTCGATGAAGGAACTGTAGCTGGTCCTAAAGGTGTCCATTCGGAAGAAATCAAGGGAGCCGGTGCACAAGGAGCAACGAATGGTGCTCCGTATCCAAATCCCTGACCTCCCCAACCCATACCCTCAGTAGCTACTTGGCCCGGCATTAACAAATTGCCATTAAGTCCATTGCCTGGGTACTGACCTGCAATGACCTGAAGTAATGAAATTAATGCATGAAAAGTTTAACTAAAGAATTAGAATATCCAAAGCCTGAGAGCGGGCAATCAAATTTAGGTTTAATTTTGTGTAGGTCATTTTTCTCTTCTCTTTTCTTACTGGTTACAGCCGACAGTAGGACTTTCTTATGTTTCGTGTAGACAGTTTACATGCATGAACTGTGCAAATATATACATCCAGACCCGAAATAATCAATTGTAGACCTTACAAATACTTCTACTATGTGGGATTCAAAGCCGCTGCTTTGCAGGGACACGACCGAATGCCACTGTGTTACGGTACCGTAAAATTTTAAGTCACTAATAATTTCTTTACTATTATCTTTTCGTATTCCATCGTACTCCACTGTTGGTTTGGCCACCTGTTGGTAAGTGATGATGCAACGCTAAATTTTGTACTGTTTTAGTGTTATAAAGCCTATACCTATACACTTTTGTCTTGAATAAACACGTATTGTAATCGGAGGGAAATACAGACGCTGACAAGACGTTTTATCTGTTGCTCTTTAAAAGTGAGTGACATTTTTGCCTACTCTCAACCACAAACAGTTTGGTTAGGTAAACACAGATCCAATACCTTAATACTTTTAATATAAAATTATTATGAATTTTGACGGATGTCGTCCGATAAAAAATATGTGCAAAATCGACTTCAATCAAAATATTATATCAATAATCACAATATATGATATAAATTATAATTCAACATTACCTGAATTAGGGCTATTTGAACGCACACAAGAAGAACAGTACGATACATGTTTGTTTTTCTAAGCCAAGTCACAATGATATTTCAAGCAAATTAAAAGAACCATTTATAATCAAATATTTCACTGTCCATTAAAAAAAATTCGAAACTAATATTACGAAAATAACAATAATTAATATTATAAGTACGTGTCTGATTAGAACTTGTTAAGAAATAACAGGAAAGATAATTATCAAAAGATTTTTTTAAGTTCGCTCTGACGTAAAATTTATGCCATCAAAAACATAACTTGTAAAAAAACCAAGTCTCGCAACTCAGTTCTTCTACTGTAAATAGTTGTGAGATTCATGTAATACCAAGTCGAGTAATTTATTCAGTCCCTAATTAAGGGTCCTTCTGTTTTAAGTTATTACGTAATTAGCTAACCTAACAACATCTTATAGTGATCATATCATTATTAAAAATCCTTTATGTTTTAAATATATAGAGATTGACTTGGCCATCGCATGAAAATACAATGTATCTTATATATCACAAGTAATTAGATTGTTTCGTGTCAGTCACTCTGTTACTTGAATATGAAATAACTAGTTTAAGCGCTGTGTTCTTAGAACCATAGAACTGTAGCTTCCCGATTAATGTATCATGTTGAATACAGTCGAAGGCCTTGGAAAAGTCACAAAATATATAGCTATTGTTTTAAAGTTAAATAATAATTATTCTGTATTTAACATATGATTAAGTTGAAATTATTTATCAGATTATTCAAGATACAATTGATTATTTGATACTATTATTACCTACAATTTTAAACAAAAATGCAATTATGACACAATATGTAATATCTTAATTTTTAATTACGTCACATTTTAAGCACTTCTGTGGCACTTATATTAAGACGCAAGACGATTTTATATTCCCTTTTATTCAGTTATAGTTTCATATTATTTTATTACTGTGTCCTGCCAAAAATTAATAAAATAATAGATTCCAATTTTACGCTTGATTTGAAATAACACTATGATACATTTCGTTGATTTTTTTCCGAATACAAATTTTACAAAGGGTTATAACTAATTCGTTATCATTGAAAAACTAAAAACTTACTTTAGTTTTTTTCCTAAAGGCATTAAATCTTAAAATTTAATAACTTACTTAAAATATTAAAATTTGTGCTTTTGATTGTTTAAATAGATTAATGTATCGTTATGTAAAGTTGATAGGTGTTATAGTGATTTTCAATTATTTTGTGAACACGATATAATAAAGGACATACTTCTAATAATATTATTCGATTTTTATAAAAGTTATATAACTATTATGATGTAACTATGTGGAATATTCTTTATAAATAAGGAATTTAAAATATCATTTTAAGGTACATTTTTGTACTTGCATTTATATAAGTAGTAACAAATTTTACAAGTTATTTTTACATTAGGCATGATCGATCATACGCTGATACGCTGAGATTACTTTTTGACGTATATTATCAATTAAATTTTTCGTATTTTCCGGTTAAAATAACACGTTTTAATTCCTCTTAAAGACAACAAACTAATCTACCTGGGTGGATTGAAAAGTACTCGGCCTAACACAGATCCATTCAATTCTAAAAATCAAATCTACCCACATTATTTAGTTCAGTTCAGACTAGTTCATTGTGTGAAGTTCGAAACGTGTGCGATAATTAGTTGTGATTTTATAAATTTATTAACAAAGTAATCGGACATAATTTCCGCGAATGGAACAAATCGAGCAGCGTGCCGTCATTAAGTACCTCCATAAGAAGGGGCTATCATCAAAAGCCATCCATGATGACATGGTCAGTACATTAGGCGATTGTGCTCTGTCATATTCATCCGTCAAAAAATGGATAGCAGAATTTAAGCGTGGTAGAGAGAGTGTGAAAGATGAACCCCGCTCTGGAAGGCCTTCGACGTCATCTACTGACGAAAATATTAAAAAAAGTACTTGATTTAATAATGGGAGACCGCAGATTAAAAATTAGAGAGATAGCCGAGATTATAGGCATCTCTTATGAATGAACTCAAAACATCATTGTCAACGAGTTGGGTTTCCACAAGGTGTCTGCGAGGTGGGTTCCGTGACTGCTTTCAGTTGAACAAAAAAGGACGCGATTGACTATTTCACGCGACTGTTTGGAGTTATTTGAAGCCGATGCAGATGATTTTTTGAATCGTTTTGTTACTATGGACGAAACATGGGTTCATTACTGTACACCGGAAACAAAACAACAATCAAAACAGTGGAGAAGACCTGGTTCACCACCCCCTAAAAAGGCTAAGTCGATTTTGTCGGCAAATAAGGTGATGGCTTCAGTATTCTGGGACTCGAAAGGTGTGATTATGATTGATTATCTTGAAAGGGGTCAGACTATAAACTCTGATTACTACTGCACCTTACTACGTCGTTTACGAGAGGAAATAAAAGAAAAACGTCTAGGAATGCTCAGAAGAAAAGTCCTGTTTCATCAAGATAACGCCCGTGTTCACACGTCAGTACAGTCAATGGCTGAAATTCACAACTGTGGCTTTGAACTGTTACCGCATCCGCTGTATTCACCTGATCTGGCACCATCAGACTTCTTTCTGTTCCCTAACCTAAAAAAGCACTTGGGAGGTCAAAGATTTTCGACAAACGACGAGGTCAAAACAGCTGTAGACGCATATTTTGACTCTAAGGAAGAATCATTTTTTTTCAACGGTCTAAATGCTTGGAAGGGGAGGTGGCAAAAGTGTATTGAACTTGATGGTGATTATGTAGAAAAATAAAAATATAACTGATTTAGTATGTGTTTATTTTCTTGGTTAGGCCGAGTACTTTTCAATCCACCCTCGTAGATAGGTTAATTGTTACAAGAATCAATCTTTCCACAGTGAATATAAGGTCTGCTAACCATTTTTTATTAATGATACTGATATGTTTCCAAAAATATATTGAAATTTTTTATGCAATGTGCGTATCTTTTAATAAACATAGTAAAATAGATGATAAATTTAAATCGAACATATTAAAAATTATATACAGAATGGGTCCCACATATATGCAATAAATGAAACCATATACTTGTTATCGCCTTTGCTGACGATATACAAAAAATGAACGTAATCGGTCCAGTAATTAGGTCAAAAAGTAGAGTTTTAATTTTAAGCAAATTTGAACACTCTATAGAATTGGGTCACTAAGTCTTTGAACTTGAATCCTTGAACATTAAAAAGCGACGTTGCCACGAAGTGCAAACTGTTGGTATTGCGACATATCGATAGCGGTGTCTTTTGTAGACGTGCCACGCGCGTGCAACGTTGTCACTCTTCCAAGGGGTCAAGGTACGTTGTCTAAACAGAGTGTTCACTTTTACTGAATTTATTTTAATATTTATTTTGTTTGAAAATTTCACTTTTTTATTTTACGGGTTTTAATTTAATATTTAATTTTTCTACACTTCTACGGACTAATATTACTTGTGGTTTCATTTATTGCATATATGTGGGACCCATTATGTATATATATGTATGTGTGTGTGTGTGCGTGTGTTCGTGAGTGCGTGCGTGCGTGCGTGCGTGCGTGCGTGCGTGCGTGCGTTCGTGTGTGTGTGCCAGATTAATTAAATTTATTTTGATCTTTCTAAAGGTTTAGTAAGAGGCCGCTTGTAATATTTTTGGCGTGATCATTTTAGTTAGGACCCTTATTTACGTTGTGTTTGTTTAGTAACTTAGTTCTTTTAGGTGTCACACAGTAAGCGACTGTTAACATCTTATAATGTACTACTTGTGATTAACAAATAAATGCATTACAGTTGTTATTATATTATTCTCATCTGCTTGGGTTGAATAAATATATAAAAGAAAATGATTTATATGGGGCTTATATATATGGAGCTTTTGGCAGAAACGACTACATGTGTAATTTTGGTTGGCAGACCGCTCCACACGTCGGTCACCTCGTGAGCTAGACCCAGATATTTTGTTCGCTTATCTGTTTCGTTTTCACGAGGTGTTGGTAGTACGGAATAGTAATGTCGACCATAAATATTCATGACTGTGCCCGGACTATCAGCACAATATCAGACTTATTCGCTAGAATAGTCCTGCCTGCGATGATGGTCCGGTTCCAGTAGAGCCTGGCGCGATCATTTTCAAGCACGGCTTCCGGCAAGTATTTATATAAAACAATTTTCGATCCACGAGGCCGTTTTCCAGAGCGAGTTCCTGGTGTAGAATCCTGGCTAGTAGGTGGTAACAGTACAAACACTCAGAGTTAGAAAATGCCGAAAAACGGAAAATGAATTACCTAAGTGACGTCATAGCGACAAGCTCAACGGATGTTGACGGTACCAATCTTTAGGTCTCCGATAGTTTTTGGTCTTAATAACCTGATCCTGTATTGTACAGACGAAACCGTCGGTTTCCACAAAGAGGTCACGAAACCGTTGCCAATAAAGGGTGACGGCCGTACTCACGTAGAGCCTTATAGAACCTCCCGTAGAGCTCCTTCTCCGGAGACCGTATGGAGGTCACCCGGTCGGAAATGCTCTGTACCACCGAGCTACTTGCCATTGCTCGTTTGCTAAGGATAGAAGAGTAACTCCTTTATCACAAGTATGATGACGTCCATATAGAATGAATTATCCGATCTTGTAAGGAAGTAATTACGGAGGCTGCACACGTCAATCACGAAGATTATGCACGTGAGTGCGCTAAAAAGCCACATCCATCACGTTTTAGCGGCAAGCACTGCCTCATTACCGACAATCTCCGATAGTGCATCCTAAAGGACGTCATGGTAGTGCAGACTTTTCTATCTAGGGCACTAAGTTAAGTTTGAGTTCGCCTGAGTATACCAAAGGTATACATGACAACAGGTATAACTCAACCGTTATATGCATGTGTCTTATTCATGCCCGACAAAAGACTGTTAAGCACTTTGGTCAAGCGTGCATAAAACTGATTGCTTCATGTCCGCCTCATCAATGCCTATATTTTGTGACATACCCAGTTCACGCTGTTTCAGCTTCGGAAAGGTTACTTATGTTGAAGGACATAGATAAGTCCATGTCTTCAGAGTTAACAACCCTCTCAATGAAGTGGACCGCACACTTATACGTCCTTAGCTCCATTCTAATAGAATTGTTGAAATCACAAATGGTGTTTATTTTGAATAAAACTATTATTTACGGATTTTATCGCGTTTAATTACTACTTTAATTTATTTTTATTATCCCGACGTTTCGGGTGCTTTACAGCACCCATGGTCACGGGGGGGGGACTGAGATATTTGACGTCCCAATGTCGTAGTTAGTCCGGCTATTTTCAGTTTTTGAATATTAATTTTTAGTCCGATTTACGCAAAACTTACGTAAGTGTTAGTAAAAAAAAAAGTAGTAATTAAACGCGATAAAATCCATAAATAATAGTTTTATTCAATGTGTAGTATTCGCGTAAATTTAAGAAATCGTTATGGTGTTTATTTAGCAATAACATAAGATGGGAGCAAATGGAGGCGAACATGTGTAAGAAGTACCTCTAGTAAACTCGCATTTAAACAAAAAAAATCGCACCCAAATCGGTTCACCCGTTGAACTACGGTGCCATAGACATAATCAGACACACACAGATAGCGGTCAATTTTATAACACCCCTGTTTTTCGTCGCCGGCTAAAATACAATGTAATATTATGATATCATTTTGTTATCATCAATTTACTGACATTAATATTTGTAATTAAACCATTGACATTTATTAATTGAAACAATCTCACGTATCTCGATAAATGCAATGTTTTCTGTTACATTAACCTACAATAATATAAATACAATGAATTTTTATTCATCAACCACTCAAGTCTCAGTGTCAAATCAACCATCAAAACATGTCAGCATCCGCTCTTCTGGTACTCTGTGCGCAAGCTTGCTTGCTACAGGTAAAATTACTTATTCAAAAGTACGAAGTAGAAATGGTATTCGCTTTATTGGGTATCTTGTCTTCTTCTTCATTATCAGCGACATTTCGCCAATCGCTGCTTACCTACGGCAATCTGCCAGTAATATGACACGTACAATTACTTGATGGGTAAATCGCAATTAATCGGAGGATTTTTTTTATGGTTTATTATATAAATTCTTGCTGAGTCGGTAGGAAGAAGATGTTAATATAATTATTATATTAACATCTTCTTTCTACGGACTCAGCAAGAACAACTAACAGTAAAGCAACTGCATTTTGAAAATATAAAACCATCTTCACATTTTAGCAAGTAGAACTGTTTCTTTAAGAAAAAGATAAATGTAAAGGATCTTTCGTAGATTACAGAAGCAGACCCTTTATATATTTATATATAGTATTAATAACAGGGTTTAATATTTTTTACTGAGATGAGAAGGGCATGCTGCTGCTCCCATGTGCTTGAAACATTTTTTATGACGTGATAAACCAGCAATTAAATTGCAATTATTCAATTTTATTAGCGTCGGTGGGGAACGTATTTACATTTCCAGTTCACGTTTTCAGAGAGCCATTACTCCTAAGCTAACTCGGCTCTTAGAACATTTTAACAACAGTTTAGTTCCCTTCATGACCATGCATTATTTATTTATTCATTCATTACAGCCTATCGAAAGTCCAATGCTGAACTAAGGTCTCTCTCATAGGTTGCCTCGTGGGGAAGTTTGGCAAAAGTTACAACGCTTAGTAGACGGGTTAATAACCGTAGTTTTTTATTATATTTGGTCGTTATCAGAAATATACTGCTGCCTATCTCCTTTTTTAGTTCCATCAGCCGCCTCCGAGGTAGTAGACATTCTGACGCCGCCACTACACAGCGAGTGAACACTTTGTAATTAAATATTATTGATTTCCAGAATGTATACAGTCAGAGCTTGGGTGCTGGACGTGGCGTAGCTCCAACTATCGGCACTGAATATGAGCTCGGTTGCGAACCAGTTCTTGCTGCGGACATAGCTTACGCTCCAAGTTTCTCTACCGGTATTGGATACGGATATGGCCTCCCTGGCCCAGCTTCATTTACAAGTCCCGCTGCCTTTGCAGGCCCCGCGGCTTATGCTGCAGGCCCGGCTTACGGAGGTGCTGGCATCGGAGACGTATCCGTAACTGGCGAAATTCCTGTCACCGGTATCTCTCTTGTCGCTGGCCAGGTGCCTATTCTTGGTGCTGTGAAGTTCGGCGGTGAAGTTCCAGCCGGGGGTGTAGTCACTATTAGTGGAAGATGTAGTTGTGGTTGCAATGGACCATACATGTACTAATTAGTAATATAAATAATTCGTTATCGATATTAGAATACATAAATAAGTATATTGTTAAATTAGCCTTCTTATTAATGCTTCTCAATACGTGGTAGAGCCATGCTTCAGCTGTATTACGTATGGGTCGGTTCGACCAGAGTAGGTCCAAGTTCTCACAGAATACCAGCGTAAAATAGCAACTTAATCTGATGATTTTCCTATGGTGAGTTTAAAGAACCAGAGAACCTTTTTCGAGAAACAAGGCATTCCATCTTAGTCCTCAGGGATGACAACGCATCTTCAATTTGGGCAGTGTGGACCACAGCATCCAATGGACCATCCAATGGATTTACCATCAGATAGACTAAGTACTCGTACGTCACCCTTATTCTATAAAGAAAACTTTTATTGAAAGTGATACCAGGATGAAACTGATTTCAGTTCTATCTCAGGCCCAGACTTTCTCTAATTTTGGAGACTTTAGAAGTAGAGAAGATTCCGCAGCAATAATGTGTGTTAGATTTTTACATATCTAAGAATAAAGTTTAATTTATTGATAATACAGGTTCTCTTAATGTTTTCAATGTTACTATAAGTCAACCAAATGTAAAAAATACATTTTGACAGCTGTCAGTTTTATTGCGCCAAGTAGGCCAACCAAAAAATAGGAACGTAAAATATTCTATTCTTAAAAAAATTGATATCGATTACTTAGAGTTGGTAATCATTTACAGTTTGGTTTGTATAATACCATATTAAATTAGAAACGGGTAATTTAAAACACAAGATTTATGAGTTTCTTCGTATTTTTGTTAGCTTATTTCTAGAGGCAAAGTTAAAAATATAAGATTCAAACTATATTTAAAATAAATTTATTCAATCACTTTCAGTTCAACTAGTTTAGATATCGTTGTTTAGATTAATTATTATTTATATTTTCAATAATACAGTCAAAATTAATGTCACTGTCAAAGTCATCCAATATCATTTTTTTTTGTTTTTTCTACGACTTTTGCCCAATCATCCTTTGTGACATGAGCACATGATTCAAGGAATATAGAAGACACAGTTCAAAAGTTAAAGACGAATTACAAAATAAGAAGGCATCCACAAAATTGCGCACAGTAAGCTCCCGAAATGGCGGGAGATTGGAATTACATACATAGTATTTTCCTGGCGGCCTTGTATGAGTTTTTTGCCTACACAAATTTACGTCGACAAAGTAAAAAAAAATACACTTGTTATTTACTTGATTCATGTAATTTAAGGAATTTTAATAATAAAAAAAATACGTGTGGCACTCGGTGACTGCCGCGGTAAAGCTATTGCATAGCATTTTTATCAACTTATGCAATTATAATTATTTATTTATTTTATTTATGTAGTTAAGTTTTTGATATTAAATCAAGTTACACTTTTTGAGCGTGGTGGCCGCTAAGAAAACAAATTTTTTTCTCTTATTGAATAAATGAGAAGTTAATATTGTTTAAAATATTTTTAATATCTTACAATACATGTAGGTTATTCAGGAATTTTTATCATTGAGTTAGCAGCTAGTGTACACGCATACGTCTAGTCGCACGAACACAAACACCGTGCCGAAGTCTGCCGAGTGCCGAAGTCTGCCGAACTGAAACGACGTTAGACGATGCACGGCTTTCAACGCCACACCTCCGTGCCCGTCGGAGTGGGGAGCGTGAGGTTTTTTTCGTTACGGAATTTCTGGATTCGGTCCCCGCGCTCAAGGCCCGCGATAGAAGCTACGCAATAGCTTAAAAATTTAATTAAGCAAATAATACATTAAAAAATAATGACAATTATTTGAATATTGTTTCCGATTATTTGAATATTTTTGCCGATTATTCGCTTATCAATGAATTTTAATCACTCAAACACTACCGTAAGGTAGCTAGCGACATATCATCGTCAAGTAAAAAAGTTGATACTGGTTATTTTTTAATATTTTGCTTTGTTTGAACCAAATCACCAAAGCATTCCTTTCTTAATCCAAGCCACACTCTTCTTTTATCAAATAATTTCCCACCATGTCATTCAGATTCAACCCTAATATGGAGTATATTAGGGTTGAAGAAGTTAATGACTAAAAATATCGTAAGGAAAAACTATACGAATATGAACAATGTTTGTGCTGGTGAAATTTGAAAATCTATGAGACACTACTACGGATGCTTCTCGCTGCCAATATACGCAGTCATCACCCAGCTCGCGACCATATTACCTTCTCGTACTATATACCAGCTGTTCAGTAATGTCAGTATGCAAAGACAATAAAAAGAAACTTCTTTCCATGGCCCTTCAAAAATGTGAAAATCTGGTACATAAAATACCTATACCAATTACCATTACAGTTTTTAAAATCTCACTGCTGAACTCAGGCCTCCCCCATTGATTGCCTCATAGGGGGGATTTTGACATAGTTGACACGCTTGGCGAGCAGGTTGTCAACCGCAAATTTTTTATAGTATTAACCGATATTTTTAACCGATTTTTGGTGTGGCGGCGCTGTCGTCGCGCAACAAGCGAAACACATCGAAGCCTAAATCGCGCTGTCAAACTTCCGAACTCAGATGAAGTAAAAAAAGGTAGATATCGCACCTAGAACAAGAAACTGTAACCAATTTTATAACTTTATGTGAGTCAGAGAAGTGTTGCCACTTTTTTAAAAGTTTCTGAAAATCGAGATACAATACTACAACAATAATAGTAATATGCTATGCGAATGCGAAAGTATATCTGTCTGTTTTAATAAATTTCAACAATTTGACAATTCAAAAGAAGATGACGCACGTAGGAGGTGTCTGTAGATCATTTAAAAGTCTTGTTGATAGATTGTCAAGTGAGCATGTAAGCGTCGATAAAATATATGTAACACATGTAATGTAAAACATGTTGATTATAAAAATAATTTAATACTAAAAAAAACTAGTTGGAATAAAAAACTAATTTCCGTGGAATTAAAAATATACTTTTTTAAATGACAAAATTGTATATTTTAGTAAATTCAAAGTAGAACTAACTCCAACCGGGGCACGAAGGAGTGTTCTAATTTGTACCCTGGGTAGGAGAGATATGAAGTATCAGCCTGAGGACACCTGAGTCTCGGTTCAAAAGAGCAAGGCCGGCTTCGCCGTCTCCGGGTGATAGTGGACAGCATTAAGATTGAAATGAAGTGTCCTGATGTTGCAAAAATTCACGAATAGCGTGACAGGGGTCACCTTGGTCTCATCGCTCCGCTTGCTCCTAGCAGTTTTAGTCGCGAGCAGAATTCGCCCCACCCCCCTCTCCCAAAATACGCGGAGCAGCCTAAGCAACCATGCTCAGAAAGAGTAAAGTAGCTTGGTCGTGGATGCTCAGCGAGGGATTCTCCGTCACTAGGAGTGAGTGTACTCTCTGGGGGTAGTTTTTATTTGATTTCGCTACGATGTTAAGGGTAGGGGGAATTGGGCCTCCAGCCCAAGCGAAACGCAGAGGTAAACCTCTACTACACGCAGGTATTCTGTGAGGTTATAATACCACACCGGTTCTAGCTGGCCCATACACGCGACATCAATAGCCGCTGCGTGGCTCTACCTCTGTCACGTCAAGAGGATGGCTGCCATTTTGATTAATTTCAACTCAATCTTAAAGCAGCTACCCTTCATTTTTTATAGGATAGGGTGACAAACGAGCATACAGTCTACATAGTGTGTGGACGGTATGCTGTGGCTCATAGACATCTACATATATCCTCGATTACGAATCAAAATCCAGATGCGTTGTCACCCGTGAGCACTAAGATGGAATGCCTCGTTTCCAGTAAAAAAGGTCTCCGGTTCTCTACACTCACCATACGAAACAGCAGCATTAAGCTACTATTTTAGGCTGGTATTCTGTGAGAGCGTGGTCCTTCCCCGGTCGAACCGACCCATTCGTGCTATAACTATAATATAGTTAAAATAGTATAACTGCTAATAATATAACTGCTATATAGTATAGCTAATAGTATAACTGCAGCATGGTTCTACCAAGTAAAAAATTCATGTTTTATTAAAATATTCGTTGGTAGCCTAAAATCATAAATATAGTTTTTGATAGTAAAATAGTTTATAAGTACTCAACAATTAAAACAGAAACTTCAGCGATTTAAAAATTTGAATGTTTACCTTGACTTCAATTTGATGTAACATAATAACAACTATTTAAAAAATATGCTGACTACATATATTTTTATAACTTAGCCTAAAATTAATTACCCAAATCTTGGACTTGGACCATTAGAGATAGGAAATACTGGCAACATTCTCCCGTGACTTAATCTCGAAACATTTGTGCTCCGAATAACCTTTAAAATTGATTTGGAATAACAAATTAAAATAAAGTTAAATGAGTGTTTACGAGTGAAACGATATTGCTTCAGACTTTTTGTTCACTTTAGTATTGTTTTTTTACCATTTAACTACACTGGACGGTATTTTGTAGGGAAATTTACTACACGACGCCCTGGGAAGTACTGAGCAAAAATGAGCGTAGTTTTATGCATGTGTGTGCGTGAACGTGTGTGCTTACATAATGGAGCGGAGTTTTTTGGCTTCACCAATAACAAAGGCCGCGCTGTATCTACCTTTTTTATTTCATCTGAGCTTCCGAAGTAAAAACAGAATATATAGAATAGCTTTAAACTACCACTCGGAGCGTTAGCCGCTCCCGGGGTAGATCACCTTGCCCGGCGGGAGATCTCCCCTTTTCCTTCCACCGCCAAATTAATTTCTTTTTATATTATGTTAGTGCATATCTACGTTACTTAGATTCATTTAAATATAATATTGAATGGACACGACATTCTCCGTGTTTGAAATCTTTAATACACTTAATCGGTTTAATGACGAAATTACTCCGTATACTAAAATTATCAA